ATGTTTTATGTCCACTACAAGCTATGAAAAAGACTTCCCATTTCACTCTCATGCCACATGATTGCTTTCCTCTGAGTTTGCCGCCTCTGCAGAGCACATTAGGCCTGAGATGCCATTTGCATCATCACACAGCAGGGGGCTTCAGCTGCCACAGCTCTAGGTTAATCCTCACCCACCTCTTTACACAAGGAATTTGCAGAAGATGCCTTTCTTGATACTACAGAATTGCACTCCAAAAATGCTTGACATTTTCAAATAAAATGTTGGCAATGAACGTGTCCTTTTAAATATTTTAGGTTAAATCAGTAAATTTAAATTATGTCCTTCATTTTTTATAAAATTAGTTTATGATCTAATCTAATGTAAAGTATCTGGAGTTTTTAATCAAGGAAAAGAAAAAAATGGTAGGAAAATGTTAAAAATGACTGATCAGATTGAATTCACTTAAAGATATATATTAAGAACTATTTATGTGATAATTTAATATAGGAAAACTTTCATAAACCAACATAGCTTACAAAATGTCAAAATTAACTCTTACATGACTTGACAAAGTATGAGTGTTTCCATATTATGAAAAGAAGAGATCATTTAATCCCATCAGAAGTAATTAGGACATACTGTTATTCAATCCAGCACGACTGTTTATGCATCTACTAAAATGAGGATAAGAAAACTGCATAGCTATGTAAGGCTCAGAGCTTGCCCTCAGGAAGCTTAAGTATAATAATTGTTGGGCACTAGAACTGTTTTAAGACAGTAAATCAGACCAGTATCTGCCAGTTCAACCAAGGGGCTTCTGACTTCAGTTTCTGAGTCGGCTTCCTTGGTTTGTGATTTTCCTTCTCTCTACTTCCTTAGTCTGTTCAGTCAGCTGCTACGGAATGGGTGACTTAGCCAATCGGTTTAATACAGTCTAATAAAATGAAGACTATTTCTCAATAAATATCATAGAGCACATGTCAGCAAGCTCAAATAAAACATCCATATGACATTAGGTCTATATTTGATTATTAATGTACCCCCAAATCCTTCATAGTAAATAAGGCTTACTTGTCTCAATCACTGATATCCCACAGACTACTTAAAGAGAAAATTTATGCCATTTGGTGTTGATTCCAGGCCACTTTCAAATGCACGCTCAGGATGTCTTCCAACATTTTTGCACTTCCATTTTGCTCTTTAAGTGATTTAAGTATTTTTTTTCTTAAAGAAAAATGACATTCTACCACTATTTAATTGTGTGACAAATAGTTTCAAAATGTTTTATCTTCTAATGAAGGACACAAGAACAGATCATCTCAATTGATACTTAGCTTTGTCATATTACGTTCCCAGAGTTCTAATAGTTATAGAAATGGAAAAAAGACAATGAAGTAAGCTTCCACATCTTGATATAAAACCAGTCTAGGAACTCCTCATATTTGCAAAGATTTTCTTAATTACCAATTGTCTGATGTTCGACTATTTAAGCCACAGTTATTGCATTTAAGTATATAGGCTCCATTTTCCAAAGTTTATGTTAATCGAAAAAGGGAGTGAGTAAAATGTATTTCAAGAACTACATTTGGCATAAGAAATGAGTTTGACAAGACTAAAGTTAATATATGTGAAGGTAAAATAGTTGGAAAGATATGATTTTAAGAAGCATAATTATTTCATTAAGTGTATATAAGTATAATATGTATTATAATGTGCTTTCTAAAAAATGTAAGATGAGGTTCATGACACATACTGAGGCAAGTATTATGTACATCCAATGAGACTTAATTTGAATACATATTCAAATTAAATTGTGTTTGTGTTATATTTCTACTAAACATAACAAATCATTTACCAGAATATACCATGGCCAAAATAAAAAAAAAAAAAAAAAACACACACACACACAAACACAAAAAACTAAAGCCCCAGTATCTGTCTTGGAGGTGTTTTTGTATACGACTAATTCCAAAAAGTAAACACAGTTCTCAACAAAATGAGGTCTTGTATGCATGTATGCATGACTATTTCTTGTTGTATTTTGCCCTTGTTTCTTTTTTGCCCTTTCCAGAATTGTTTCCTGTGCTGCCCAGGGCACTCTCTCCATCTTTGCAGTGCCCCCTCAGGCATGGAAAGGGATAAAGTTTCAGCAAGGGTTAGCAATTGAACTGGATCTACTCTATAGCCAAGAGAGGACTTAGTTACAGGTGGCAAGCTTTTGCAATCCTTGCAAAGAAATTCATTTCTCTAATGTGTCCCTTGTGCTTACTCCAGATTTTCCTCTTTCTATGATGAGGGAAAATAAGAAAAGATGCATTGTAGCTGAACACTAAATCAAATTTTGCTATTTAAGTAGCCTACATTCCAAGTTATAGTTTGGTCAAAAGCATATGTTTATTTTCTATTTATTATTCATTTCCTAAAGACACGATGAGGATGAGGACAAACTGGCAGATGTTATAGAATTAAGTAAGCCTTTTTTAAAAAAACTCATTTTATCATTGACTGGATTCTCATCACTGGCTTATCACTCCACATATTAACAGGCCAGAAAATTGATTTGCTTCCGAGAAAAAAAGGTAAAAAATATAGGTGATAATATAAAATACAGTCAGTTAAAATACAGAAACACGGAGAAGATATGTTCAAATGAGTTTTTTTGTCTTTAATAATGTATACTGCAAGAAAGGGAAGAGTAATACATGGGATAAATAAACTGATTAGTATTACTTAAATGAATATCACTATAGTGCTGATAAAGCTAAAAAAAGAAGCTATTGACTGACTATAGTATTTGCCTAGTCATAACTACTAGCAGGCAGGGCAGACTCCCTCTAGCCAAAATCAGTCGCTCACTAGTTCCCCTGCCACCCTTTTCTCCCTGCACATAGAAAGACCCGCTAAGTAGTTAATCTATGTCCAAGAAATAAAGCCTTCATTTTACAACCTAACCAAGTCCTAATAAAACGGTAGGGTAGGGGAGAAACATAAATCTGAACCCCGAAGCAATGTTCTCAGCCAATCCTAAGACAAGGAAGGGATGAGCAATTTGAGCAAAACCTGACAATATCAACAAAGTATGATGTGTCTGTGGAGTAGTGTTTGATGAATAAATGTGAGGCAGCCATAAACATGAGAAGAAAATCCAGTAGTGCTTTGTGCCTCCTCCTCTTTCTTTCTTTCTTTCTTTTTTTAATCCTCTTATCTCTTTTAGTGTATTCATATGGCCTGATCTAAGATGCTCCTAAGTCCACAGACATGGTTGGACTTGTGCTCTTTCCCTGGTTGCTGTATAGGACCTTTATTTATTTATTTATTGGATCTAATGCTGGTGTTGCTGCTGGTTGCAGTGGTGCATTTTCTCTGCTATACTCACACCCCCTTCCCGCACCCACCCCCCCCACCCCAGTCTGCTGTGAAAAGCAGCACTGTCTTAATCATTGGTTTACATACTCAATAAAAGAGACTCATGCCTGAATGCTGCTGATGGAATCTCTCCGGGTAGAGAAAGAGTAAATCCTCCTCCAGGCTGAGAGAGGCACCAGCAAACAGTTATTTTGCACTGCACTGAATAGACAATTCACAGGGAAATGTTGAAGGAAGAGAGGAGGCGACCCCAAGTGCAGTCCATGACCCACATGCTCTATAATAAATAATTTCGCAGCAGCCCAGCAGTGTGTGCATTGACCGGCCGGGACCAGCACACACAGATTGGCAGGGAAAATACATCTAGCGGTGTCGAATTTTCATTGCAATCACCAAATTAACTGATTCCCCCACATCACACTCCCCCCAACACGGCGCACGCCGGCGCGCGCGCGCGCGCGCACACACACACACACACACACACAGCTGAGCTGAGAAATGCAAGTTACTGAGAGGTGAAGTAGGGTCTCCGGGAGATTGTCTCAGCGCGGATTAAAAATCTAAGTAACGTGTCAGACACCCGGGTTACTTGCGTGAGGATAGGGGTGTAAAGGGTGAGAAATGGGACTCGGCGGCGTACGCAGGAAGAATGTGCTGTCTGCCTTCACGGAGATTCTGGCACACATGACATGCCTGAAATTTACACCCAACGTAAAATACACAAAAGTACCACCAAAATATTCTACACAAGATCTCTAGAAGGTCAGTTAGTTAATTCAGGAAAATTCTGCCCACTGCCTCTTCTTTCATGTTCATAAATATGCATAAATAAAATTCTGTCCCCAGTCTATATCCCGGAGGAGGGCAGGAGAGAGGATGCATTCCAAGAACTTGCTGAAAGATGGTTCATTGACCTCATTTAAATCCTCCAAAGGCCGATTGGGTTTTGCACGCCAGTGAGTCTACGTGTGTCTTACTTTCAGATCCCTTTTACCCAGGGAAAAATTAATTTCATCAACTTGTCTTCCTGCAAATACCCAAATAATGACAGAAGGGTTTAGAGATAGGCAAAGAAAAAAAATCTAGTCACCTAGCTTAAAAAATATTCTATCAATCATCATTTCACATCCATCCTCGCTATATCTCACATTCAAGCCACATCCCTATACTATTCTCTTCAAAGCGACAATCTTCCGCCTTACAGCCCCTGCCCGCCCAGCCCTAGCACGCCGCCCCTGCCTCCTCCACCACCCAAAGTGTCCTCATGCACTCCTGTACTATGCATTGCCATTTATTTCATAATCAGCATCATCCTCCCATTCCACACAGCCCCCTCACTCCCTCCTCCAAAAAAGAGGGTCTGGAGAAAAGTGAACCCAGATTCCCTGGCCTTCCGGCATCCAAACCCAGTGATTTGCATAATAACAGCGTTCTGTGCGGCTTCCCTCCACTGCGGTCGTAGGGGTTCTTACATTTCACGTGAAAGGATAATATTAATTACGGAAAGAAGCGGCAGAGAGAAGATGGAGAGGTAGGAAATCTAAGTGAAAATCTCTTGGCAGTAAAGTAACTGCTAGGAAGCATACATTTCTTTGATTAAAAAAAAAATGACACAGACTGAATAATAAAAAGTCAATGTGTTGATAAAGTGCGTTTGGGTCTTTTAATTTTTTTTGCCTTTTCTCCCCTTTCTTAGTTTATTGGTTTATTTATTCATTCGTTCATTTTTTTTATTTTTTCTTATTCTTTTTCCTTTCTTTCTTTTTCTTTCTTGCTTTTTTTTTTTTTCTTAAATCCCAGACAGAGTCTCCTCTCTCTTCCTAGGTGAATGACACGTCTCACAACACATTTTCCCCCCCGGAGATGTTATTGCAATGCACACGGTGCTGCCGCTGCTGCTGTTCTCGCCGTCTTGGTAGCTCGCTCCCAGGCTCTCACACACTTTTTAAAGACACACGGATATGATGATGGTGGGAAGAGGGGGAAAAGAAAAGGCGACCCGAAAAGGGGGAGGTTAAAGAGATGACAAGAGACGGAGAGGGTCGGTCAAGAGCGTGATGTGGGAGGTGGCTGGTGGGGGTTGTCGGGAGGGTGGAATGTTCAGAGAGGCACAAGTTGCCAGCCAAAAGGCGTGGGAGGGGGATGCCGGCGGGGATGGAGTGAGATGAAGGAAGCTCAGGTGAATGAAAAGGCAAAAGGTGCCGCGTAAGGGGCTGACTGCTGGGAAGGCAGGGCTGAGCCAGCGTTAGAAATTCAAGGGGCTGGTGCAAACTGCCACTGCCCCCTGCCGCACCAGAGAGTAGGGGGAGGGGGTGGAAATCGCTGGGGACAGGGGGACTGGGAGGGGAGAGTGGAAATATGGGGTGGAATGGGAAAGATGGGGAATGGGCGAGAAGTTGATGTTCCCCGCGGCGGGGCGGGGATTACCTTGTAGCAGGAGCCCGCAGACACTGTAGAAGCGGAGAACGGCGCTGCGTTTCCAAATCATGGTCCCTTCTCTAAAGGGCTGGGGAAGGAACGAGGGGGCAAGTAGATGCTGGTGAGCGGGGCACGAGAGTGCAGGGCTCCGCTGGTGTCCTCCTCCCGGCGCCCACGGGACCTACCGTCCCCGCCGCTGAGGTGTTCGAACCCGCGGACTCGGATCGGCGGCAGCAGTAGCGACAGCGGCAAAGCACCCGCAGAATGGGGTATCGGTGGGCGAAATAGTTTCTTCTCCTCCTCCTCCTGCTGGTGGTGCAGCCGCGACAGCCTGTCTGCCAGGCAGGGGTTTGGAGCTTGCCTTCCTCTCGGCGCGCACAGCAAGTCCCAGAGCCCGCCGGGGCTGCCCGAGCAGGTGGTGCAGGGGTGCCGGGTTGTCGGAGAAGGTGCGGGCGAGGGCTGCAAGGAGTGGATAGGTCACGGAGGGGAAGGGCTGGGGGAGAGGGGGAGCAAGCAAGCAGCACTGCCGCTCGCACCCGGGGTGTCTCGAGGTCCTGGGAGGGGAGGTAGCAGCGGTGGAAGCAGCGCTAGTGGCGGCAGCGGCGGCGGCAGCTCTACGGCGCACCAGACACAAGGGCAAGCTCAGAGCGGCGGAGGCCCCGCCCCCACCCTGGCCAGGGACAGACACCGCCCCCCGGCCAATGGAAACACAGCCGCCCACCAGGTCTGGCCAATGAGAGAAGGGGATGGGTGGAGACAAGCGCCGGGAAAAACAAACAGGCTTCTCAAGGACCCTTCGGGCAGGAAGCACTGAAGCCCCCATTCAGCACCCCCGGCGGATCTCACCTCTTTAGAGATATCTCGTCCGAACTTGCAGGCGAGACAACTGCCTTTATTAATCAGCGCTCTGCACTCAGGGAGGGTTCAGCCAATCGCCACCGCGAGGGGGCGGGGTTAGCCGTGTCCCTAGCATGTTCTGGAATTCGTGGTGCCTGGGCCAGGTCCTGGGTGCGAGGTTCTTCTGCGCATTTGGACTTCTAGAGCAGATGGTGGCTGCACCTGCCCACTCACCAGCTGCAGTAGCAATCTCTGACGATTCCAGCAGCAAAAGGGAAAGATTGCAGAGGACGTGGGAGAGGCTAAGTATAGAGAGTGGAACACCTACCTGCCTACAAGAACTTGTGTTGCAAAGAAGGAAAAATAAGTGGAGGAAATAATTTTGTTGTTGTTGTTCAGAGATTTTACTTAGTCTAGGCATAAATCTCAGTGGAGCTTGGTGGGTAGCAGTGCTGGCACTGGCATCAGGCAGCCTTTGGTTCAAATAGCATAGCTGTCGCTTCTTGTTTTATAGTGTTTGATGATTTACTTGAACGTTTAAATCTAAAGCCTCCTCAACTGCAAAACGGGGATAATAGTACTTAACTTTAAGAGTTGTAAGGATTAAGTGAGAAAGCAGTCATGTTAGCGTAAGTCCATGCAATGCGTACGTACTTTATAAATGGTGACTCTAGCTGTTTAGTGGGATTTTTCTAATTCCTGATAGCAGGAAATCTTAGGCAAGCCTCTTTAAAATGTGTTAACGATAGCCTTACGAGGGGAGAGAGGCAGAAGGGTACTTTTTTAATGGTGACAACCAAAAGGGGTCACAGAAACTCAGGAAACTGAAAAGAACCACCTCTATAAATCAACACCCTGAATTGTATCCTGTAGAAGAGGAGACATAAATGAGCAAGACATAAATGAATCAGAAGTTGTGTTTCTAAATGAGCTTAATTCCCAGGGTTTTCCCTATGACCAGTTTTTAATTGGACCAAAGTAACAGATGATGGACTGTTTCAGTAGTGTTAAATCAGTCACACCATAAATAAAGTCGGCTTTGTTTGAGAGACTACACAATAGAAACCTGCAAGCAAGAAGACAGAGGGAAAGATGAGAGGCAAGATCAATATTGATGCCCTTCACTCTTTCCCATTTGTTGCTTACTTTGCCACAACCTTTTGCAAATTCAACCCTTGCCTTTTAACTAATGACCCATTCATTTCTCTGCCCACCTTTCTCCCCAGGTTCTCAAAATTAAGGAACAAAATGTCCATAATAAAACTGCAAGCACATTCTTGAAGAAAGATGTGTGAATACCCGTGTTATTGTAGGAGATAGTTGCCTACTGTGAGTTTTAGCTGTTAGGAAAGTCAGTCAGTGAGTCTACAGATAGTGCTATCATTTAAACTATTGTGAGGATCAAAAGGTGAAATTCTAATCATTATTGACTCACGCTTAGGTTTTGTGTCAAGGAGAATATAACAAATGGAAATGCCAAAGAAGTTAGGGTTTTTTTTGTTGAAATGGTAGTCAGAGTTTCTGGGTTCTAGTGCATATCCTGCTTCTAGCTGTGTGACCTTGGGCATATATTCAACTTCCTTGACCCTCAGTGACCTCAACTATAATATGAAGGAGCTGGACTGAATTACTTATAAAGCTACATTGAGCAATAGAAAATCTTTAAGATTGTCATATTCAAAAAAATACCCCATTTGAGCATGAATATATAGGCATTTGTAACCAACACTATGAAAAAGAGTCTTCTTCTGAGTCTTGTTGATAACCATGACAGCAATTCGGATTTGTACCCTTACATAACTTGTAGCTTTACTATTAAATATGTGGTTCTCAGACCAGCAGCACCAGCAGCACCTAAGAATTTATCAGGACAGCAGAATCTCAGCCCTGCCCCATACCTACGGAGTCAGAATCTTCATTATACCAAGATTTGTAGTGATTTGTACGCACAGAAAGTTGGAGAAGCACTGGTCTGTAACACTGTTTTGCTACATCCTTACCCCCAGAGATAATTTCAGTGGGCGATCTATGAAATGGAAGAACCTAAAAGGCCCAGGGGGTTTTTGGTAAATTACTATCTTCAGAAACTCCAGGAATATCCTTCTCATGACAAAAGTAACTCCTTTTGTAAACTATGAAACAAAATGATTAATTTAATTAGATTTTTTTTTTAAGTTGAAAGTTTGGCTGAGAGTCATGAACTTTCTTGTGATTAAGGGCTCTGTTTAGGCCATACACCCGGGAGACTAGAAGAGAAATGTGCACTGATTGCCTATCTGGGAGAAAAATACTGAAAACATAAACTCTGGTCATTTGGATAAATAATGTCAAATTCATGTACAAAGAACAGATAATACTCTATTTTTCAAATAGTCTATTCTTAGATGCTATTACACGATTAATTTAAAAATAGCCAATACTCAATGTTGTAAGATCTTTGAATATTTTAGAAAAATGTAACATTGTCAAAATGTTATATAGACTTGTACGAATAAATTCATTTCTAAAACTTACAGCAGTTCTGTGAATACAATTAAATATCTTCCAGTATCTTCATTTCATAGGTTTAAGGTTATATTGTCTACATATATCCTCAATGTGGCAGTAAATGTATAAATTAACTGACCCCATAGGAATCATCAATTAATTAGTTTCATAAATTGCCAAAAGATGGCATCTATCCATGCATCCATTTATGCAATAATTTGAAATATTAAACCTGTTAGCAAAATTCTCTTTACTTTCTTTATAATTAAGCTCCATATTCTCTTTCACTTCATGGCAAAAATATTTTTAATATTTAATTGAGTGTTTTAATATACATTATGAAACGAAGAGAAATTAATGCCTTACAAGTAAGTCATTCATTAGTAATTAATGTGTTATATAAAAGATAGTTTATAATTTTTTCTGCCTTGAACAGATTGGTCCTCTTTATATATGCTATCACAGAATAAGATGACAACCTCCTCCTCCTCTCTCAATAGTACCAAATACAGGTTTTTGTTTTGTTTTGTTTTGTTTTTTTAAGGTAGTTATCACAGAGGAGACTGTGCTTAGCTTATATTTGGTGATTGTTTCTACCACAGTTGAAAGTATTGAAATTTATCCTGACTGTGATGATTATGCTTTTTTACCCTTTTGGGAGCCAAGTAAACTGTCTGCAGTTTTAATTGTGCTAAAAATATTGAAATGGAAATTGGGAAAACTTTTATCACTATGGATAAATTTTCTGTGATTTAACATGGTTCACCAGAACATTTATATTTCTTTTTTAAAATGCTAAATTTAGGGGAAACATATAAATATTTTTAAATATACAGTCAATCCCAGAACTGAAAATCTAAAAATCCATGCTAAATTTACTCTCATAGCAAATTGACCCTTGTAGTAAATTGACCTAGAAAAACAAATTTCATGGCCTGGTGAAAATGTACACCCTTGTGGAGGAAAATTAGCTTATTGAGTACTGGAAACATTGATTGTCATTCTCCTTGCTTGCTAGCGTTTTAACTATGAGAGAATCTGACTGTGTTGCAGAAATGTTAAGAATTTATAGACATACTATATAGTATATACATCACAATATAAGTAGTATTATTAATATATATGATGTGTGTATATGGTTAGTATATGTATTTTTTATATACAAAATGGTTGGTATGGTTGGTATATGTATTTTTTGTATATATTTATAGCAGTACTTACTGCTTTAGATAGTTTTTTAACTTACAATTTTGCTACTGTTTACAAAACATTCAGTGTCCCTCTTCAAAATATGACCTATTGTTTTACCTCACCCCACTCCACATGTCTTATTATTAGAGTTTCATGTTATGTTGATGAAAGTATATAAAAGTAATGAAAATAAATTCACAAATATTCAGAAATTTATAACCTCAAGATGATCTCTTCCTTCCTTTTTATATAGCTACATCAAGTAGCAATATGATCAACATTTTCACCTTCTCTCATTTTAAAATAAGCAATCACAATGTATAGAGTGCAAATGACTTAATGATCTTATGTAGTGTAAATTCTATTTATACTATGATTGAATCTAAATGATCTAAGATATGTGGCCATGATGTACTTTCTTAAACTCATCAAGAAGGATGATTCCTTTCTCTACATTTTCCTCAGAACAAGCACATATTAACCCTAATTCATAGATGATCATATGATCCTTGAGTTTAACAGTAGATAATATGTAAAATGGAAGTTTTGCAAATAATCATCTGTAAACAGAAACATCCTGAAGATCACTGTCTACTTTTGAACATAATCATACTGAAAATTGACTTTATTAAAAAAACCAAACAATAACAAAAAAAACCTCTCACAACAATGACTCTATAGCTATTCAAGCCAATTTTATTCCTGAAACATGTTTTTTTGCATGTGGTGTTTTTTTTTTTTTCCATGGAACACTCCTATTGGAGATCATCCTATTTGTCATTTCCTTACATTCCAAAGAGTCTGCCCAAATGTGACATTCTCAGTGAGGCATTGCTGATAACCCTTTTCCTCTTCACCCCTACCTCCTCTGGTCACTCTTCTTGCCTCTAATTTTATTTTTCTTCATATCATTTGTAAATATAAACTATGGAGAAATAAATAAAATTCCACTCCCCATTCACAATAATTGTTGACTTTTTTTTTTTTTTTTTTTTTTTTTGGCGAGAGGGTGGGGACACTGTCTCTGTCCCCCAGGCTGGAGTCAATGGCTCAATCTTGGCTCAGTGCAACCTCTGCTTCTGGGGGGTCAGGTGACTCTTGTGCCTCAGCCTCCCTAGTAGCTGGGATTACAGGTGTGTGCCAACTCACCCGGCTAAGTTTTGCATTTTTACTAGATACAGGGTCTCACCATGTTGCTCAGGCTGATTTTGAACTTTCACCTGCCTCAGCCTCCCAAAGTGCTGGGATTATAGGCGTGAGCCACTGCGCGCAGCAGACTGTTGACCTTTTCTTAACTGTTCCTGACTT